CTCTCTCTCTCTCTCTCTCTCTCTCTCTCCTTTCTCCCATGTCTCAATGCTGACTCATTCGCCAACATACTCATTTTTGCTCGCTTTTCTCGTAAATATGATGTGCTTCCCGGATATAATAGAGTTAAATCGCAACGGAGACTCAACCCTCGATGCAGTGTCTCATAGTCCCCTCTTGCACAGAAGGCCTTGTTCGCGTCACATGATCAAGGAGTAGAATCAGAAAAAAAAATTGTAGGAGGCTAGTTGTATTGTTTTTTATGTAATTTATCATTATTATTATTATTATCATCATCATTATTAGTTTCTTATTATTGTTGTTGTTGCTATTGTTTATTAATGTTATTATGATTATTATTATCATCATTTATTATAATTGATATTATTTTTATTATTATTATTATTATTATTATTATTATTATTATTATTATTATTATTATTGTTATTGTTGTCGTTGATATTATTATCTTTGTCGTTGTTATTATCATTATTTATTAGTGCTATTATTATTATTATTGTTATTATAATTGCTGTTATTAGTATTGTTATAGTTACTATTATTATTATCATTATTACCATTATTATTGTTATTGATGTTGACGTGTGGATGTTGTTGCTATTATCATTATTATTATAATACCATTATCATCAGTATTATTATCATTATTATTATTATTATTGTCATCATCATCATCATTATTGATGGCAGTAGTAGCAGTAGTAGTAGTAAGGGCATTACTATTATTACTGTTATTGTTATTTTGTTATTACTATTAGTATTATTGTTATGATTATGAACACCACCATCCTCATCCTCATTATTATTGAAAAAAATGATGATGATAATTATCATTATTATCGTTATTATTATTATTATTGTCATTATTATTATCATCATTATTATTGCTATTATTTTTATTATCATTATCATTGTTGTTATCATTATTATAATTATCACCATTATCATTTTTATTAGTGTTGCTGTTTTTATTATTCTACCGCATTATAATTATTATTGTTATCATTATTGTGATTATCATTATTACCATTACTATTGTTATGAAAATTATGATAGTTTTTATTATCATTATTATCATCATCATCATGCAATACTTTTGTTGACATCAATCATCGTTATTATTATTATTCTCATCCCCAATATTACTATCATGTTATTGTTATTATTATTATTATTATTATCATTATTATTATTATTGTTGTTGTTGTTATTATTACTATTATTCAGCATTATCATTATTATTATTTATCATTATTATTCTTGTTGTGATTATTATTATTATTATTGTTGTTGTTGTTGTTGTTGCTGTTATCATTATTATTGTTATTGTTGTTGTTGCTATCATGAATATTATGATAATTTTTATTATAAATATCATCATCATAATGCAATATTTTTGTGATGTCAACGTTATTATTATTCTCATTACTAACATTACTACTATGCTATTACCACTATTTTCATCATAATCACCAGGACTATTATGTTGCAACATAATATCAACTATTAATTTTAAATACTTTTTCTTCATTTTTTAAATGATAAAGACGAAAAAAATGCTTAACGGAGAAATGAAGAGTAATGCGTAAATGTTAAGGTATTTTCCTATTTTATGATATATTTCTATATTTCTTTATTGCCTTTAAAATACTGTTAAAGCATGTTACCTGTACAGCTGATTGTGAAGCAATAACAAGAACAAAAATTGAGGCAAAATTAGATATATGGACAATGGACAAGAGATCCCTTGTGTAGTGTTCTCTGCTAATTCGCAAACTGAAGTCCAGAATACATTTGCATTGCTGTTGGTGGCAATGCATAATAATTTGAGCGATAGCAATGTCAGAACGATACATGTCATTTTCGTCGTAATGATCATGTCTCTCTCCTTTAATTTTCTATTCCAAAACTTCTGTTCTCTTAGGGCAATTATCGTTATCATATCCCTTTCCTCGCTACACAAGAAACCAGCTGATACGATCAGCCCCAGAGACCTCAAGCCGTCCCGCAATTCCGTTGTTTACATATGGCCGCGTCGTCCGCTCTCTGACTCCCGCTCACCACATCCCTCGCCATCTATTGTGTTGCTATCATACGTGTGTAATCGCGATATTTGACACCCCAGTTCTCCTTCCCGGCGATCTCCCCGTCTGACGCTGACTCGTTGCCATGCTCTGGTGCCCTTTCAAGCATCCGTCTGCCATCTCGTGACTACTGACTAGGCGTACCAAGCGACCGGTTGGGCGTGACTGTGCGTCAGCGGACAGCGGGAACGAGGCCGATTCTTCCCAGTCTAGCCTCACGTGATTTAATTTGTTAGTTGCCCTCGTGTCACTTGATTCTTTGTTTTACCACGAGATTGAATTTGTATATATGTACGTTTAGACACGCGCAAATACATGCATATGGAATATCAAGAAACACTAGTAGGCCTATATTAATAGATTCAGAGAATATCTCGTATGCTAACTAATCAAAATAAGTACAAGATACGCTATCTTGTAAACTCGTTAATTTATCTGTTACCAATGTCTACATAGCCATTGACTCTTACAAGTTTACAGATAAATTTAAGCCAGGTAATAGGACTGAAAGATTATCATTCAATGTCCGTCAACGCTATC